TGGTGGACATGTTCAGGAGGTGTGGTGGACATGTTCAGGAGGTGTGGCATGTTGGACATGTTCAGGAGGTGTGGCTTGTTTTACATGCATAATATTTGATTGCGTAACTGCTCTAAATATTATGCGTTATGTTACACATAATTATTATTATTATGTCATTCGTGTATGTATGTGAACATATTTAAGTAAATAAGTATAATCATTGTAGTTATATCCCCAATAAACAAATGATCTCTCGCAGGCCCTCGGACCCTCCCGAGCACAACTACCTGTACGGCATCCCGGCGCTGGCGCTGCTGGGGGGCTACGGGGCCACCGCCGCTGCCGGCTACCCTGAGAGCCATCAGATGGCCTACCTGGCGGCCTCCCTCTGCTGCGTCGGGGCCTTGGCGGGCCTCAGCAACCAGAGGACCTGCAGGCTGGGCAACACGCTGGGCATGGTGTGTGGTGGGGCAACCAGAGGACCTGCAGGCTGGGCATGGTGGGTGGTGGGGCATCCAGAGGACCTGCAGGGTCGGCATGGTGGGTGGTGGGGCGACCAGAGGACCTGCAGGCTCGGCATGGTGGGTGGTGGGGTGTGGTGAAGGGCCCACAAAGCCTGCCTAATATAATACCAAATGGCGGTGCAAAAGCCTTGTCAAAATAGTTCTACACTAAAAGATTATCCAATAAATCCTCACCCTCGCATGTCTTGATATTTCAAGATCTTGCCATGTGTGCCGCTACGTTTCTCGTGTAATAATTACGTTTAATATCTTCTCTTGTAATAATTGTTATTTAATAATTACGTTTAATATCTTCTCGTGTAATAATTGTTGTGTAATAATTCTGTTTAATATCTTCTCGTGTAATAATAACGTTTGATATTGCCAGATCGGCGTGACAGGAGGCATCGCTGCGACCATCGGCCAGCTGGTGCCGTCTACGCCCGTGCTCGCCCAGATGGCTGCAGCAGCTGGTGTTGGTGGCCTCATCGGCTCCACCATCGCCAAGAAGATCGAGATATCAGACTTGCCCCAGCTGGTGGCGGCTTTCCACAGGTGCGGCGGGCTTTTCTTGTCAATTATATGAGCCATCTTGAATATATAATCCCTTGTCGCCATCTTGAATATCATTCTCGACGCCGCCATGTTCAATGCTTTTTTCGACGCCACTATCTTGAATATCATACTTGATGCCGCCATCTTGAATGTTTTTTCGATGCTGCCATGTTGAATGCTTATTTTGATGCCACCATCTTAATTGCCACACACACAGCACCTTATTAAATGTAGTCCCCCATCTGCTCCCATGTTACCTTGTGATCCTCTTGTTTCCATTTGATCCCCATATTAACGCGTTGTCCCCCTGGTATCTTGTGGTCCCCCTGATACCTTGTGATCCCCATTTTAACATGTGGTCCCCCACAGCCTGGTGGGGGCGGTAGCGGTGCTCACGTGCCTCGCGACGTACCTGCACGACTTCCCTCACTTCGCCACGGACCCCGCGGCCAACGCAGTCAAGACGGCGCTCTTCCTGGGCACCTTCATCGGCGGCGTCACCTTCAGGTGCGTCCTGGGGCAGCATGCAGCCTGGCGGCTGGTGTCCTGTCGATTGCTATCGCTCATTATCTTAATGTTTCTTGTCCACCAACATCTGGCGCAGATCAAGTGTTATGTCAATAGAGTATCTCATGTCTGCCACCATCGCTTGTCAACTGAATTTCCATTGACTCTTACCACACAGGTTGTACTGACATTTGTTGTCCACTCCTGTTCCTACTGTCTTGTTTGTTCGTCCCTTGTTCTCATTTATTCATGTTATGCCCTTGCATGCATTGCACATTTGCTTTTCCCAACACTGCCCCAAACTACCGTTCCATAAATCCCACACAATCGCCTGCTCCCAACACAACGACCTCCCACTAACGCCCCCTCCCCCCGCAGTGGGTCGCTGGTGGCGTACGGCAAGCTGCAGGGGCTGCTGAACTCGGCGCCCCTCCTCCTGCCTGGCCGCAACGCCCTCAACCTCGGCCTGCTGGGGGGCAACGTGGCCGCCATGGGCTACTACTTCCTGGACCCTTCCTTGACCGCCGGCCTGTCCATGCTCGGGACCACCACCGCGCTGTCCACCATCATGGGCGTCACTCTCACCATGGCCATCGGAGGTCAGTTGATGGCATCAGGCTCACCATGGCCATCGGAGGTCAGTTGATGGCATCAGGCTCTTCATGGCCATCTGAGGTCAGTTGATGGCATCAGGCTCTCCATGGCCATCGGAGGTCAGTTGATGGCAGGGGTGTGATGTTAGTGTGGTGAGCGTGAATATCTCCCTCATGCCCCAGGATTTGTCACTTTGTCACACCTCCTACATGCCCCCTCCCGCAGACATGCCCTAATGCCTCTAGGTTGCAACATGCCTCCCTCGCCCCCACATGCTCCCTGACGTTCATGTTAACATAATGTTACTATTAATGTAGTGTAATATATCGTCTAACATGCCCCCCTCATGCCCCCAGGCGCCGACATGCCCGTGGTGATCACGGTGCTGAACAGCTACAGCGGTTGGGCGCTGTGTGCCGAGGGCTTCATGTTGAACAACAACCTCATGACGGTGGTGGGCGCCCTCATCGGCTCCTCGGGCGCCATCCTCTCCTACATCTGTCTCTTATACACATCTAGATGTGTATAAGAGACAGTGTTGGACATGTTCAGGAGGTGTGGCATGTTGGACATGTTCAGGAGGTGTGGTGGACATGTTCAGGAGGTGTGGCATGTTGGACATGTTCAGGAGGTGTGGTGGACATGTTCAGGAGGTGTGGCATGTTGGACATGTTCAGGAGGTGTGGTGGACATGTTCAGGAGGTGTGGCATGTTGGACATGTTCAGGAGGTGTGGTGGACATGTTCAGGAGGTGTGGCATGTTGGACATGTTCAGGAGGTGTGGTGGACATGTTCAGGAGGTGTGGCATGTTGGACATGTTCAGGAGGTGTGGTGGACATGTTCAGGAGGTGTGGCATGTTGGACATGTTCAGGAGGTGTGGTGGACATGTTCAGGAGGTGTGGCATGTTGGACATGTTCAGGAGGTGTGGTGGACATGTTCAGGAGGTGTGGCATGTTGGACATGTTCAGGAGGTGTGGTGGACATGTTCAGGAGGTGTGGCATGTTGGACATGTTCAGGAGGTGTGGTGGACATGTTCAGGAGGTGTGGCATGTTGGACATGTTCAGGAGGTGTGGTGGACATGTTCAGGAGGTGTGGCATGTTGGACATGTTCAGGAGGTGTGGTGGACATGTTCAGGAGGTGTGGCATGTTGGACATGTTCAGGAGGTGTGGTGGACATGTTCAGGAGGTGTGGCATGTTGGACATGTTCAGGAGGTGTGGTGGACATGTTCAGGAGGTGTGGCATGTTGGACATGTTCAGGAGGTGTGGTGGACATGTTCAGGAGGTGTGGCATGTTGGACATGTTCAGGAGGTGTGGTGGACATGTTCAGGAGGTGTGGCATGTTGGACATGTTCAGGAGGTGTGGTGGACATGTTCAGGAGGTGTGGCATGTTGGACATGTTCAGGAGGTGTGGTGGACATGTTCAGGAGGTGTGGCATGTTGGACATGTTCAGGAGGTGTGGNTGCTAAGAGTAGACCTACATGAATGCTACGTAGCGACTAGACCTTGGATTATCATCAGGGTGTAACTCTGCAGTTGAATGTAAGAACCAAGACGTGTGACATTCTGGAATATAGATTCTATTGATAGGTTGGAACATAGTCCATCAATAGTCTATATTAAATAAGTATAGTGTGGGACATTCTTTCTATTAAGAAACTTACTGTTAGAAGCAACACTGCTGGAACCGTTTTTGCCGACTGAAATTGCCTGTACGTAGAAAACGTTTGACGACTAGACCTAGGTTGACTACGAAGAATTACATCCTTCGACAATGACTAGACATAGGATATCATGGCGTGCGACGACTAGACGATGACTTGAATTAATATGTCTAGGAATGACCATACTTATTATAACTAGAGAACGACGGCCTCTTCTTGAGCCTCAAGAGACGCCCCGACGCCTCTAGTGGCCACGTCTGTGGCTGTCGCCATAAGGTGAAAAAACGCAGAAATTCTCCGTGTATTTTTTGCTGATGTTAATGTCGTTCTTTGGCAACTTTTGAAATGTTTGATGTTATTCTCATGTGAATTTTTATATAATTAAAGTAAATCGGAGGTTTTATCGTCCAATGTCAACACCTAGCAGTATTTAAGTGAGAGTTCTGAGACCAGCGGTGTTGACGTGAGGTCATATTTGATGCCACGCTGAGATGGAAGCTACAGACAACCGCAAAAATGCAAATTATTTTCTTGGCGTATACTAGAAAAATTTGTGTAAGTGCTACCTTTTTTGTACTAGCATTTGAAATTATTTTTCGTTCTCAGAAGCTCTTTCATTTTCTGGTCGATTTTAATACAATGTTCAATTTTTATGATCGCATAATCACTTTTCATTAAATTTCTAAATTCATTTTGTACGATTCTTCTTAGAAGTGAATTTCGCGTTTCTAGTCTAATTTCAACGAGGCTTTCGAGTGTTGATGTTCGCTGTGTTTTTAACTTAATTTAAAAGTGTCCTGTCGCAAACTTTCGGTGTGGTCGCTCATCATTTCGTGTGTTGCATCACTAAAGTCGCCATGCGGTGGCGGCAAGTTCATCATTTTCGTGTTGTGATTCAGCAATGCTAATGGCCCAGCCTGTAAAGCCCATCACTAGAGTGTGGTAGTGATGTCCGCTGCTATACTTTGTAGTATTGTCTGGCTGACGTCATAATGCAGCTCAAGTTGTTCAGCTCCGAGTTGTGTGTGTGTATCTTGCATTCAATTTCTTTGTTGAATAATTACCCCGGAATTGTTATTGTGAATTGAAACTATGTCCGCTGTGAGCCCCCTCAACACCCCAGTGGGGCGGCGACCCTAGGATAACTCTAGAGGTTGTGTTGGGGTTGGGTTTTTTTCAAGCTTCCAAGAAGGGGAAAGAAGGGGACGTTCCTCCCCCTCCTCCAGCCTTCAACAGTAGGGTTCACAAATCAACAAGTCTCCAGAAGTAGTTTATTTGTAAGTCTAATGTAGCTATGATCTATTTTTCTAAACCTTAAACTACCCGCGAAGCAAAACGATTGAAGATTCAAACATCCTCGCGTGGAATGGCTGCTTGCGGGTTCATAATAAGATCAGCGCGGGTACAGCAGTTAATTAAACTTGATTAAACGCTGCCATGGAAATTAAACTTAATTATACGTTGCCATGAATGCATTCCTCGCTTGGCGACTATCAAAATTTTTGCGATTCAATCCTTTCTGCAGGAATTAGCAGTTTGATGCTCTTAGATAATAGATGTGCTAAGCTGTACAAAGTGCTCCTCGAGAAAGCTATAATTAAACCTTCTGGTCCACGGACTTTCATTCCATCCTCTGAATTATATAGGCCTTGATTAATCGTGGCTTTTTGCGCCCCAGCAAACCAAGTAGCTCAAATGGGCGGCAACTCTTCCATTTTTTTAGAGTCATTTACAGCAGGTTAGTCGGCTAGGTTTGGCAGGTTCGTGGGTCTAACTACCGTGATGAACGGAAAAATTATACCGACACTGCATTTCCGTTCAGTACTCCCAAGTTACTTCTCATGGAGAACCTATCATATAATTTTTGATTAGATCAGTCATGACTTTCATGTTGGAAATGAACGCGATAGTACACTGACGACGCGTTGTTGGATGAAACTTTATGAAAACTGAAATGAACTCTTCCAATGATGCGCCTCCTGTAACTATCTCTCCTACAACGACCCAGCTCTCCACCATGGAACCTATCGCGACCACTCAAACCGCCGAATCGGCAGAGCTGCTGCCCTCGACTCTAGCGAGCCGGAGGAGCCAGCGGACAGACGAAAAACCAGAACTGACTTTAGAACCATATAAACCCTGTCTCTTATACACATCTAGATGTGTATAAGAGACAGCACCATGCCCTCACTAAGGACCCCACTCACCGTGCCCTCACTAAGGACCCCACTCACCGTGCCCTCACTAAGGACCCCACTCACCATGCCCTCACTAAGGACCCCACTCACCGTGCCCTCACTAAGGACCCCACTCACCGTGCCCTCACTAAGGACCCCACTCACTGTGCCCTCACTAAGGACCTCACTCACCGTGCCCTCACTAAGGACCTCAGTCACCGTGCCCTCACTAAGGATGTTCCCAAGGAGCGGCAGACAGTCCCCAGTCAAGTCCCTGATGGAGGCCAAGTCCCTCCTGTTGACGATGGCCTGGCAGTACAGGTCGGAGACTTGCTCGCCCGTCCACTTGAGGTCTGGCAGCAGCACAAAGCCGGTCTGGGGGTCTGGGTCTCGCAGCACCACGCGGTCTGCCTCGCTCACCCCATCCAGGATGTTGTAGATCCACTGCAATATTGCATCTTATTGTAATAAATATTTTTAACATCAGTATTATTTATAGCAGATAATTTATTATTAATATATTAATAGATCCACTGCAATATTATATTTTATTATTGCAATAAATATTTTTAACATCAGTACCGGTATTATTTATAGCAGATAATTTAATATTAATATATTAATAGATCCACTGCAATATTGTATTTTATTATTGCAATGAATATTTTTAACATCATTATTATTTATAGCAGATAATTTAATATTAATATATTAATAGATCCATTGCAATATTGGATCTTATTGCAGTGACGTTAATTATGATATTGTCATCTTAGTGCAGTAATATTAGTAATATCAATATTATTTTATAGTACAAAGTATGAACATCATCTGCCCATTGAGTTAGAGCGTTAGAGTTAGACTTGAGTAGACTTTAAAACCTAAGTAGACTTTAAGACCTACGTATACTCTAAGACCTAAGTAGACTTTAATCCCTAAGTAGACTTTAAGACCTAAGTAGACTTTAAGCCCTAAGTAGACTCTAAGTAGACTTTAAGCCCTAAGTAGACTTTAAGCCTTAAGTAGACTTTAAGGACTTTAAGCCCTAAGTAGACTTTAAGACCTAAGTAGACTCTAAGCTATAGCCCCACCCCCACCCTCCTCCAGTCCCTTACCCCCCTCCACCTGCTTGCTGTGGGGGGCGCCGCCCTCAATGAAAGGCTTGGTGTAGGTCCTGAAGATCTCAGGCGTCTCCTCCACCAGGCAGCACGCCTCCCACTCGTACCTCTGGAAGTGCTTGTCCTCCGCAGGGTGAATGATGGTCACCTGCAGCTCTGCACAGTGCAACACCTCCTCAGTTCCTGCAACACTTCTGGTGGAGTGATGAGTCAACAGGTGGTGTGACGAGTCAACAGGTGATGTGATGAGTCAACAAGCAGAGTAAGAAGTCAAGATGCANCATCATCATCGTGCCTGGTACGTCATCATCGTGCCTGGTACGTCATCATCATCGTGCCTGGTACGTCATCATCGTGCCTGGTACGTCATCATCATCGTGCCTGGTACGTCATCATCGTGCCTGGTACGTCGTCTCCTCCATGCATTTGTTCTCCCAGTTTAGGTTCACATCCACCTTCATTTATTTTGAGTCATCTGATGGCCTAACTCTGAACTAACTAGAGACGTACCTCTGTTGCAGGGTACGGGCTGAGACGTACCTCTAACGTACTTCTGTTGCAGGGTACGGGCTGTGCGTTGCCAAGGCTCAGTACCCCATCGCTGAGCTGGTCGAGGTCCTTCGGAAGAAGGGCAAGAACGTCAGGTTTGGCATCCACCCCGTGGCTGGGCGCATGCCGGGGCAGCTCAACGTGCTCCTCGCAGAGGCTGGAGTACGTCTTTAATACATAGTACTTGTCATTACATGTCTTGAGTACCAACAATTCTTTGGAGTGCGTCTTTTGGGACCAGGAATAAGGGGGTGCTGTAAAAGTGTTACATGTCTGGTCTGTTTTAGTACTTATTTCTGTTCTGGTACTTGTTTAGTACTTGTGTATGATGCTGTATATCTTGCAGGTGCCTTACGACATCGTCAATGAGATGGACGAGCTCAACGAGGACTTCCCAGAGACCGACCTGACGATGGTCATCGGCGCCAACGACACCGTCAACTCCGCGGCCGAGGAAGACCCCAACTCCATCATTGCCGGCATGCCCGTCCTCAGGGTGTGGCTGTCCAACCAGGTGCGTGGGGGCGAGCCTCAGGTCCTTGAGGCCTCAGGCCTTTGAGCCTCAGACCCTAAGACCTTGTGGCCTCAGGCCTTTGAGCCTCAGATCCTTGAGACCTTGTGGCCTCAGGCCGTTGAGACCTCAGGCCTTTGAGCCTCATATCCTTGAGACCTTGTGGCCTCAGGCCCCTGAGACCTCAGGCCTTTGAGCCTCAGATCCTTGAGACCTTGTGGCCGCAGGCCCTTGAGACCTCAGGCTTTTGAGCCTCAGATCCTTGAGACCTTGTGGCCTCAGGCCCTTAAGACCTTGGTAACGTGTGCGGTTAAGGACACCAACTCAAGGCCATGCTGCAAGCACTGCCCTCGACGGCTACCAAGCGCCGCGCACCAGCGACACCGTGAAATTAACTGAGCTTAACAAGTCTTAAAACCACGGCTAGCTAATCGTCTCAGTGGTGCTACTAATGCGCTACTGTGGCGTTCGTCCTCCTTCCCTTCATCCCGCCTTCTCCTTTGTTTTTAACAGAATAAAATAGTATATATTGAATCATTTATTTGACGCGCAAAAGATACTTACGGACGGATTTATTGAATTTATTTGTCGCATTCACAACAGCGTTATGGAAAGCAGCTTGTTTGAATTTGAATTGAAACCAACAACCAGGTTAATTGAAGAAACCAGGTTAACCTTTGTTGGAGGGAGCCGNTTTCGTGTGTTGCATCACTAAAGCCGCCATATGGTGGCGGCAAGTTCATCATTTTCGTTTGCTGGTTCAGCTATGCTAATGGCCCAGCCTGTAAAGCCCATCAATAGGGAGTGTCTGGTAGTGATGTCCGCTGCTATTATTTGTATTGTCGTGTGGCTGACGTCAACAATGCAGCTCAAGTTGTTCAGCTCTGAGGTGTGTATATCTTTCATTCAATTTCTCTGTTGAATAATTACCCCGGAATTGTTACTGTGAATTAAACCTGATCCATTGTAAACCTCCTCCCCACTCCAGTGGGGCGGCGATCCTAGGGTAACTCTAGAACTCCAGAGGAGGTTGTGTTGGGGTTGGTTTCATTTGGGTGCCCAAGAAGGGGACGTTCCTCCCCCTCCTCCAGCCCTCAACAGTAGGGTTCACAAATCAACAAGTCTCCAGAAGTAGTTTATTTGTAAGTCTAATGTAGCTATGATCTATTTTTCTAAACATGAAACTACCCGCGAAGCAAAACGATTGAAGATTCAAACATCCTCGCGTGGAATGGCTGCTTGCGGGTTCATAATAAGATCAGCGCGGGTACAGCAGTTGATTAAACTTAATTAAACGTTGCCATGAAAATTAAACTTGATTAAACGTTGCCATGAAAGCATTCCTCGTTTGGCGACTATCAAAATTTTTGCGATTCAATCCTTTTTGCAGGAACTAGCATTTTGATGCTCTTAGATACTAGATGTGCTAAGCTGTACAAAGTGCGCCTCGAAAAAGCTATAATTAAACCTTCTGGTCAACGGACTTTCATTCCATCCATTTTATTCTTTAATCAATGCATAATCGTGGCTTTTGCGCCCCAGCAAACCAAGTGGCTCAAATGGGCGGCAACTCTGTTCCATTTTTTGAGAGCCATTTGCAGCAGGTTAGCCAGCTGGGTGTGGCAGGTTCGTGGGTCTAACTACCGTGATTAAAGGAAAAATTATCCTGACACTGCATTTCTGTTTAGTTCTCCAAGTTACTTCTCATGGAGAACCTATCATATAATTTTTGATTAGATCAGTCATGACTTTCATGTTGGAAATGAACGCGATAGTACACTGACGACGCGTTGTTGGAAGTACAGTACATTTTACAACCTGTAACGTCAACTCTGTATTTACGCTAGATATAACATGGCAAGATCGCTTCCTCCTTTAATCTCCAAACCACTTCGTAATTATTTTTCTACTACCAAGAACGCGTATCGGAAGAAATTACATTTTCTTTGACCTATGGGTGCGAACATGACCTATTTTTTTATATCATCTGGTCGCAGCACGACCCTCATAACGTTAGGACTGAGCACACTTATGTTCACGGTTAATGATGGCATTCTTTAATTTAATTCCCCAGAGTCATGTCACAACCAAGCAAATCTTCGTCGAGAACCGCGTCAGTAGCTCCCGTAACAAGTTCCTACACCAGCAAGCGCTGTGTCAGGTATAAAAGAACACGTAAACCTAATTATTTGTACTGCAAATACGAGCTTCGCTCCCACACGTCACAATCTAGGATAATTGGGGGCTTTTAGTCTTAACTTAAAACTCGGTCATAGTCTTCCCCAGATCCCCTAGTCCCCCAGTTTTGACTGGCGCTGGTGGCGGGCAAGAGGGTGTGGGTGGTTGTCCCTGGGGGTGAAGGCGAGGGTGGCGTGGGTGTAGTGCTGCGGGTTCTGCTCCAGGTTGCTGATGACGTCACAGAGGGCATGAGCCTTGCCACACCGCGTGCCTGGGGGCAGGGGTCAAGCTTTAAACTTTTTCTAAGTTTAACCTGTGAAAGTTGAACATCTTTTTCTAATATTTATTGCTCGATTAAATCTAACACTTGTTCCCATGTGCATTATTCTGTTACGTTACTCCGCTCTATTCCGCCCTACAGGGAGGTTCATACCTGTTTTTCTAATATTTATTACTCGATTAAATCTAACACTTGTTCTCATGTGCATTATTCTGTTACGTCTGGCGAAGCTGCGCCAGTAACATTAGAGTCAGACCTTACAGTCGTTGGAACGACGTAGTGCAAGGTCAGGTATGAGTGGCTGTGAGTCGGTTAGTCAGTCGTGTCCCGCCGTACAGGGAGGTTCATACCTGTACTCACTCCGCTCTATCCCGCCCTACAGGGAGGTTTATACCTGTACTCACTCCGCTCTATCCCGCCCTACAGTGAGGTTTATACCTGTACTCACTCCGCTCTACTAACTCTCAGCATTCCTTCTCTAACGCTGGAGTCGTGGCTGTGCCGTGAAAGATTTAGTAAACTGCTCCTCTATCATGAACCTGATGTCACTCTAGTTTAAATTTTAACCGTGCCTGTTTTAAACTGTGCTTTGCTGAAATAAAATTACGTTTTTTATCCATGTAACCCACCAAGTTTGAATGGAAGACATCCGAGTGCAATAAAGTGCAATTAAACTTTCTACAAGATAGTTGCCGGCGTTTGGCCGTGGAGCTCTGAGCATTCTGACAAGTTTAAAGATTGTGGCGCCTTTAAGTATGAATAGCATTGAAGCATTATGCCCATATGAAGCATTACGTAGGAATAACATAGAAGACGGCTTATGCCGTCGAGAATATCGGGGTTCTCCTCCGTACAGCAAAAGAAGGCTGAGATTCTTGCATTTACCTTCGTATAACGAATGCTAAATGGTAGGATTTCCGAATCAAAACTCAGTACCTCGGCTTATGGAAGATCAGTTATGGATGTTAACACAACACAATTAATAAAAAATATATTGGCTTTATCCAACTGAATCATTCATAAGAATAACGTGACATATCAATAATGAGTGACTTGCATATAAGCTAAATAAACACACCGAGCGAAATACGGCGAAGCAAAATACGGCAAAGCATAATACGAAATTTGCTTCGAAATTTTATTTTGAAGCAAAAAACGGCGTGAGAATATTAATATTTTCTCTTTTTTCAAAAAGAAAATAAAGAAATTACGCCTGACTGACCAGGGGCGTCGAAGGTGAGGGCGCTGAAGTGCACGTGGAGGTGGTAGAAGGAAGGCAGGTAGTGCAGGTACACGAGCAGCCGGTCCTTCTGCACCCCGTACCTCCTGCTGATCGCCTTCTGCACAGACGTTAAGTGTGGTAACAAACACGTCTTCTGCACATTCGTTTATTAGGATAATAAACCTGTCTTCTGCACACAAGCCTTCTGCACAGTAGTTAACTGGGATAACAAACACGCCTTCTGCACACTCGTCTATACAATTTCAACAGTCACCGTGCCCTCACTAAGGCNTAAGGCCCCCACTCACCGTGCCCTCACTAAGGCCCCCACTCACCGTGCCCTCACTAAGGCCCCCACTCACCATGCCCTCACTAAGGACCCCACTCACCGTGCCCTCACTAAGGCCCCCACTCACCGTGCCCTCACTAAGGACCCCACTCACCGTGCCCTCACTAAGGCGCCCACTCACCGTGCCCTCACTAAGGACCCCACTCACCTTGCCCTCACTAAGGCCCCCACTCACCATACCCTCACTAAGGACCCCACTCACCGTCCCCTCACTAAGGATATTCCTAAGGAGCGGCAGACAGTCCCCAGTCAAGTCCCTGATGGAGGCTGGGGACTGTGATCCTGTTGACGATGGCCTGGCAGTACAGGTCGGAGACTTGCTCGCCCGTCCACTTGAGGTCTGGCAGCAGCACGAAGCCGGTCTGGGGGTCTGAGTCTCGCAGCACCACGCGGTCTGCCTCGCTCACCCCATCCAGGATGTTGTAGATCCACTGCAATATTGCATCTTATTGCAATAAATATATTTAACATCGATATTATTTATAGCAGATAATTTATTATTATCATATTAATAGACTTTAGGACCTAAGTAGACTTTAAGACCTAAGTAGACTTTAAGACCTAAGTAGACTTTAAGTAGACTTTAAGACCTAAGTAGACTTTAAGTAGACTTTAAGACCTAAGTAGACTTCAAGTAGACTTTAAGACCTAAGTAGACTCTAAGTAGACTTTAAGACCTAAGTAGACTCTAAGCCCTAAGTAAATTCTAAGTAGACTTTAAGACCTGAGTAGACTTTAACCTAAGTAGAATTTAAGACCTAAGTAGACCTTAAGTAGACTTTAAGACCCAAGTAGACTTTAAGACCTAAGTAGACTTTAAGACCTAAGTAGACTTTAAGACCTAAGTAAACTTTAAGACCTAAGTAGACTTTAAGTAGACTTTAAGACCTGAGTAAACTTTAAGATCTAAGTAGACTTTAAGACCTAAGTAGACTTTAAGTAAACTTTAAGACCTAAGTAGACTTTAAGTCCTAAGTAGACTCTAAGCTATAGCCCCACCCCCACCCTCCTCCAGTCCCCCGCCCCCCACCTGCTTGCTGTGGGGGGCACCGCTCTCAATGAAAGGCTTGGTGTAGGTCCTGAAGATCTCAGGCGTCTCCTCCACCAGGCAGCACGCCTCCCACTCGTACCTCTGGAAGTGCTTGTCCTCCGCAGGGTGAATGATGGTCACCTGCAGCTCTGCACAGTGCAACACCTCCTCAGTTCCTGCAACACTTCTGGTGGAGTGATGAGTCAACAGGTGGTGTGACGAGTCAACAGGTGATGTGATGAGTCAACAAGCAGAGTAAGAAGTCAAGATGCAGTATAGTGCAGGGTTGAGCGAAGGCTTAACACTAGAGGCACTCACTGTTAAGGTGAGGTGGGAGCTCTGCCATGTGTTTGCTGTAGACGTCGTTGTGGAAGAGCTGCGTCAGGGTTGTCTTCTCAGAGATCACTTCATTCAGTTTGTCAGCATCAAATGGCGTTTTCTGCAAGTGAAATATTAGTTAGTACCTAAGGAGATTTATTGAGAAATAATATATTAAATATTGGTAAAAAACTGAGCAAGAAGTATTTTTATATGATCATGGCTGTATTGATATAAAGCAATTATCTGTACCACTGTGGGCTCCCATTATGTTTTGTCCAATTCAAATGTTAGACAAAAACAGATGAATTTGAACAATAAATTCAGGTGTTAGATGAATTTTACCTTAATACTTTATGTTGAAATTAATACAATGTAAGCAATTCATTATCATTGTTGCTGCCAGCATCAGCATTTGGGAACAATACAAGTACAACAGATGCCCCATGCTAAGAAACCATTGTATTCTACCAGCTCCAAGAACTTGCACCCTGAAATGGATACTAAATTGAAATTTATATTTCAGAATTGATGCTGAAAGCCAACACAATTAGATTTTTCTTCAAACCCATTATTAGTAGGAAAGTGATTCATTTGAAAAGCAAACCTGGAGCTGGACAAGGACTCGGCCATCCTCAGTCTTGTGTTTGGCTTCCAGCGCAATGGAGCAGCTAGCATCACTGCTTGATAAAACTCTCACTACTTCTAGGCAGGAGAAATCAGCAGCAGCCACAGGAGCCTGTTGAGTTGCAGCGTTGTCTTCATGCAGTTCAGCGGCAGCTTCAGTGCTACAGGCCGGTCTACAGTTCAGAGTAGGACTGCTGTAGTCCAAGGCCATAGGGTCACTAGGATCTCTTGTGACAGAATTGGTTGACAGTTCATGAGCCTTTTTTGGAGGCAAATCCCCATTCTTGCTCTCTGTGTCACCATTTTGAGATGAGTCATCACACACTAGTCTTTTCTTGAGAGGAGGCTCACTTGTGGAGCTTTCAGATACATTAGACATTGTAGAAATGATCAAAAATCAATCTGCAGATTGGAAATTAATTAGATATCACATCATTACACAGGATTGGAATTTTATAAATTGTTTCTGAAATCTTGCGGCTCCAACATGACAAATTTTTATTACATTTGTAATCTTGCAGCCTGATCGTGCATTTTGTTAACAATTAGATAGGAGGTAATTCATCTGGCAGAAATGGCGGGAAAGCTCCAGTTGTGGCTCTGACGGTAGATGTTTTCCCACTACTGATTTCATACTTACATACTATAACTACAGAATAAAACAAAGTTCAAATTTGCTAATAAGCAAAGATCTTAAACAAAAGTATTGCATGATGATGAAATCATATAAAATGTATCCCTGATAAACTATTTTATTTATTGAAAACAATGTATTTCTGTCTCCAAATATTTTTCAACAACAATTGTAGGTCAAAATTTTTCAAATTTTTCCTGAAGAAATAAGGAAGAGCAATAAGAATAGGATGGGTGAAATTAATTAGCCAGATTTACAATATTTCATTTTTTTACTGATTCACAACTAAATCACAGGTACCGTAACTTTTTTCCAAGTTTACACTTGTGTTTGAAGCCTCAAATTTAGCTTTATCTCAATTTTTTGCCATATTATTCAAGCTAGATTATTGCATCCTACCTAATTGTTAACAAAAATTCATGATTGGGCTGCGAAATTTCAAATGTGTAAAAATTGTCACCTTAGACTTAGAGCTGCAAAAAAGCAAATATATGTAAGAAAATTTCAGAAATCTTCTGCCACATACCGTATTTCAAATTGAGATGAGTTTGACTGATTCGTGAGTTGATGGCAGGCAAAGCAGAGACATTTTTAGACTCTTTCTCAAACCTCAAGTTCAATTTAGAGTAGGGTAAACGCTTTATATTCCGTCACATTAAGGACCCACCGAGAAATGAAAAACTATAAAAAAAACGTATGCATTACTCAAGAAGTTCTGTTTGCTTTGCGTGACTCTCTAAACACCGTACTACGCATTGGCAACAATGAAACGTCACAAAATGTTGCCATATTTATTAAAAAGCCTTTAGAATGCAAACCTACCAATTTTACCAAATCTCTGTATTCCGTCACTTCGTGTGGCAATATGCAGCACGTGGTGAGGCGTATTCCGTCTGCGCTTCAAATTCAACTAATATGTAATGCCGACATCCACGTGTTCGAATTCCGATCGCTGTGTGAGCTGTATTGGAATACAACACGGCTTTGAATTAGAATACTATTGAATATTGAACACTACTTTATTACGCATTTACTCAACAACTATTAAGCTTTTATTTGAGAACATTCTAATTTTTGCACACAGCTTGGAACGAGCTGTGTGTGTCCAATTCAAGTTGTGTCAGAATTAGTTTTCATGTGTCTTAATCCATTTCTCAACTTTATCATCTATTAATTTATTTACGACTTGAAATCAGCAAATACAAATATACTTAAATGACTCCTAAAATATTCACAGACGTATTTAAAAGTCTCAAACCATAATATTCTTCCTACACAAACAGTTAGCTATTCACTATTTGGTAGAGCAAGGTCAACTCTCAAATTTGTCCTGGAAATTTGACAAATTTTTCGATGATCTTACTGGGTTACCTGGGTAGCGTCACTAGCGTGCATTGTCTCTCTTTGGATCTCAATATTTTCCCACTAGATGGCCAAGACCTAGTGTTTTGGCTGTAGTTTGACGCGCAAATGCATGACGTCATCATTTCAACCATCAACAAACGCATGGAACTAATTTACTAAAACAAAGCTTAATATAAAGGAAAAAGTAGAGAGGTGTCGGAATTACCCACAATGTCGGAATATACCGCGATTACCCTATAACTATGTCTATAAGTAGACCAAGACCAGTAAAGTATCATGGATACCAGCAATCCAGCATTATCAGTTTATCACACATAACTGACATAAGAAATTTGTTTAAATATTGAGTATATTAAAAATGAACTAATTTTAAAAATTTTTGATGCTTACTGCTTAGCCTTTGATTGTGATTGAAGTTGAAAGTGAGTTAAGTGACTTAGCAAGTTAGTGAGAGAGAGCATGAGTCTGTGAGACGAGAGGAATGAGGATATAGGTAGCGTGTAGAAAAATATAAAAAATAAAATTAATATTCACTGTCCTTCACACTCGTGCTTTGCCAATGCCGTGAAATCGTGAATGAAAATGTCTCCTTCCCCGTCATCGACTAAGCTATTTGTCAATAGTGGCACAACTCTTCTTCTTCTGTCCGCTTTCTGAGGACTTGGTTCTTCACCACTCGCCTCACGTCTGGACAGGCAGCAAGGGTTTGGCTGGACAAACCTGCAGGCAAAGCCTCGGTAAGTTTGTATATCTTGGATGTTGTTCTGTTAGTTCATTTAACTACTGTGCTCCGGAATTAGGGTTACATGCATGTTAGTAACCCTTACCTAACTGGAGGGTCTACCCAGACAGAGGGCCAGGGCCAGATGGTCCAGCCTGGGATGGCGCAGCCTGGAGCATCATATTTATTAGGGACGGGGGAAATAAGTATTGTGATCATGGCCTGCTTATGCTAATCTTCTAAGCTACTTGACTGCTACCATCAGGGCCAAAAACTCAACAGGGGAGCCACCTGTCTAGGGGATTTTGTACACATCTTGGAAAGGTCCTGTACAGAGGTCACACTTACATTTAGTCATGTGATGGGTAGGATCCTGCCAAGACGGTCATGCTTCAAATGCATCAAAGGGATGGTTGAGGACCATTAGATTAGTGATTAGCTGGAACTACATTTCTTTCAAACGTCCAGTATGAAGAAGGTATTTAGTCAAAGCACTGACTATTGCAAACTGAACAGGAGGAGGGAAATCCCCTCCTCCACACAAGTTTTGGACTGTTATGGAGACTCCAAGTTCATGGAGGGTTTCCTGCAGCTCAGTCCGAGCCATAGCATAAAAAGGGCATTGAAGTAGAAAATGCACTATTGAGTCTATTTCCCCACACTGACAAAGGTTAGTCTCTGCTAAATTGAAGCGATGTAAATGTTGCTCGACTCCAACACGTCCAATTCGTAATCTGGCTAATGCTGCTTCTACTATTCTGATCTTACATGATGACCATGGCCAATACTGCACATGACCTTTAATTGACATCAAATGTCTTCCCTTATCTGTACTTTCAACTTCCTGATGCCAACTGTTGTCCCAGTATCTCATAAGTGATGTTCTAACTTCTCTTACCATATCTTCCTTGTACACCCCTGCTTCCAGAGTGATATCATTCAGGCTGTGTCCTGCCTTTGCTGCCAGGTCTGCCAGCTCATTCCCTTCAATGTTCTTATGGCCTGGAATAAACTGAATTTTCATGGGGAATAATTGGCTTATTGCATGAATCAACTTCTGAATCTCAAAGACACAGGGGGACACAAGAATCAGGCCGTAATGATTGAATCAGTAGCAAACTGGACATGGAGTCAGAATATATTACTGCACCGGGGCAGCTTTGAGGATTGCAAAGGAGGAACTGCAAGGCTTTAACAATTGCAAATAGCTCACACCCTAATATACTTGTTTGAGGAGGGAGCCTAAAATTTGTAATCTGAGTGGTGTCAGGGTTACGGACAACCACTGCTGCAGCTGCTGATATTTCAGGCTGAGTTATCTTTGACCCATCTGTAAAAATCTCTAAATAATCTGCATAGTTAGTAGCTTGGAGGTCACTAAAAACAGCTTGGGCCATTTGTTCTGAGATTTCTCCTACTGGCATAGCAATAAAGTCTGTGCAAATAAATTCCCTCACATCTACCCATGGAGGGATTGGGGACACAAGTGGAGCAGCATTGACTGCTGAGAATTCGACTTCCAGCGTATTGGAATACACTGGTGCTCTATATACCAGAGGAGGCACCAGGATTTTGCCTGCCCATGGTCTTGTTCTTGCAGCTATATTAGCATACAGAAGCTCATCTGCCACTGCTATGTGACGAGGCAATTCTGATATCCGTCCATAGAACCGTAAGCTTACTAGCATTCTGCGCAGTGTTAAAGGTAGTACATGACTTTCAACTTCCAATGACACAATGGGAGAGGTCTTACGTGCCCCAAGAGCAGTGCGGAGGCATTGATTCTGAATGACATTTAGCTTCCGCAAATGGGACTGTGGGGCTGTACAGTAAAACATTGACCCATAGTCCATTGTGCTTCTGATAACTGACTTATAAAATCTAAGCATCAATTCCCTATCAGCCCCCCACTGGTGGTTTGACATGGATTTCATTAAGTTGACTTTTGGGATACACTTGTCTCTAAGGAACTGCAAGTGGTCCCGCCACATCAGTCCTGGTGCATCCAGCAGAATGCCCAGAAATTTATGCCTGGTCACAAACATAATTTCATCATTACCAATTTTTATCACTGGACTTGGTATTGACTTACGTGTGAAGACCATACCTTTTGTTTTGGTAGGATTGATGTTGAGGCCCCACTTTTTGGTCCAAGGGTGCAGCTGTCCAACTTGACATTGCAGCAAGGCCTCAACAGGCTGCAAAACAGGGCCGCTACAATACACTGCTAGATCATCTGCATACTCAGAGATTCTGACATTATTTACACAAGGCAAATCAGACATCATGACATTAAACAGAGTTGGTGAGAGGACTGCTCCCTGTGGTACTCCTGCTGAGATTAAGTGCTCCTCTGAGTAAACCCCCTCAAAGAAGACCTTGAAAGTTCGTGAGCTCAAATATTCCTGTATCCATGCCAGCATCCGGCCTCTGATTCCCAGTTTTTGCAGCTTGTATAGGAGTCCCAAATGCCACACACGATCATAAGCATTAGAGAGATCAAAAAATATGGCAGCACATAGTTGCCCTTTTACCAGTGCACATCGGATGCTCATTTCTAATCTGGCAACCTGGTTAAGGGCACACAGTCGTCGTCTGAAACCACTCTGCGTTGCGCTAAGTCCACCTGTTGACTCTAAAAAATATGTTAATCGTGAGTTAATGAGGCGTTCTAACAGTTTGGGTAT